ACCCACGAAGATCTGCCATGAAGTGCAGAGTGAAATCTGAGGCCCCATGGAATTAGGACATAGAGTCCAAGGCTGGCTGCTATCTCTGTCCCCATGTCTGAGGGTGTTCATTCAAGACTACATTCTCCAAGTGAGACCCCCAGATTTGTTCCTGAACAGACAGATCTGCCAGCCTGACTGTCAATTCCTGCCCAGTTCGTATTCAGGTACTTGCAGTAGGCCAGGCGTGAAAAGCACCGAGAGGAGGTGGGGCTGGAATGCGGTGTGCCATCAGTCAGTGCCCCACAGGTCCCTAGCCTGTTATTGCCCAAAGGCTTTACATGTGGCAGCACAGTCCTAGGAAGGAGAGGGAACGCTGTGATGGAAGGTGGGAGCCTTTCCTAGGGACTTGGGGTCACATCTGGTCCTGCTTTCTATCTCTGGGGCGAGGCAAGGCAGCAACACAGGAAACTAAGGCTGTGGAGCATCTGCTGTCTCCCTCCCATGTCAGTGATGCTTTGTGCTCTGCGCCCACAGTCTTATTCAGACCTCCCAGCAGCCCTCCAGGGTTGGTGTTGCTATTGTTCCAGTTGGACTTGAAGGTGACTTGTCCAAAGCCAGAACAACCTATAAGTTGAGATTTGAACCTAGACCTGAGATGTGAGTCCAAAGCACTACACAGAAAATTCCCACCCACTGTCACCCCAGCATGTTCTCCACCCTCCATCGCCCCAGCTTCCAGTGCTGCCAGGGGGAGACCTTGACTTTTTATGACATGCTTGGCTGAAGGGGCAGCAGTAATAACCAACTGGGAAAGGCTCCAAAGTTGTCCATCTTACCAGGATGAGTTTGCCATCCACGAGCTCCCGCACAAGTTTTGTTTCTTGCCCGTCCCATTTCTGCACGTGGACAAGTTTGCCTCCATCCAGCGTCACAGTGGACTGTGGAAACAGGGTAGAGGCCTGAGCTGTAATCTGAGTCAGGATTGAGGGACAGCATGGAGTCTGGTCCCTGGGCCACAGAGGACTTAATTTCTGGCCCAACTAATGATGGTGCTAGGCCCAGAGCTCAGGCAGCCCACCTCCAGTCAGCCCTGCAGGATATCCAGCTCGCCTCCAGCCTCTGCTCCAGTACTGCCTGGCTGGGAAGGGGCCTTTAGTGCTGGACAAGTAGAGAGGCAGGCAGTGTGGCGGAGCCAGACAGCCTGGCTCTGAAAAGCGCCATCAGTGTTCTAACGGGCATTTATCCTGTATTCTAGGTGATGCCACAGCCCCACTGTCCCTAAGACAGGGTCATGTGCCAACCCATATCCCTGGGAGAGGCTGGCAAGGGGAGTCCTCAGACTCCAGCCTAGTGATCACATATAACGTCTAAAAGACCCTTGGGGTTGGGGGGTATTAGAAAATTAGGCCCCTGCTCTGTATTCCCACCCCTCTTCTTGGTCCACATCATGTGACCCTTTCAGCTGACAAGTGGGCAGCAACTGCCAGGGCCTGGGACTGGGTGCCCTTGTAGTGTCCCACAGCCCTGGCCAAATGCCCACTTAGTCTTCCGGGTACTACCAGCCTGCATCAGCTGGTTCTCACTTGGCAGCTCTCCCATTCTCTCCTCTAGGAATTTGGGGAAGTCTAGGCCAGGCTAAGGGACCCTGAGTGAGCAGAGTTCAGTAGAAGAATCTGAGAAGGTTGTGTACATATTGGGGGATGGGGGGTACTGGTGATACATGCTCATTCCCAGTTCCCTTAGTTTTTGCCCACTCAGCAAATTATTTTTAGCCAGGCATCCCAGGGAACTATTGTTGTCTTTAGTTGGGGTTCTTGCCCCTCAAGGTGGGCTAGTTCAAGGAAGTACAGGCATGTGGTAGGGGCAGCAACTTCCCAGATAGGCTGCATCTTTGGGCACCATCCCAATTCTGCTGTCAGCATCCCCTGCAATTCTGGGCTGAGCTCCATCTTCCTCCAAAGGGAAGAGACCAGATCCTTCCCGTGGCAGCTATGAGGAAGGGAAACGGCTGAGGGCTGAATGTGAGCCTGTAGAGGTCAAAGGCCCTTAGTCCTCTCTCCCATGCTTAGCCCAGGGGAGGCCTGAGGCAAGCTGCCAAGAAAGAGCCACTGCAGCCCTAGCTGGTTTGGCTCAGTGGATAGAGCGTCAGCCTGCAGACTCAAAGGTCCTGGGTTCGATTCCGGTCAAGGGCACATGCCTCAGTTGTGGGCTTGACCCCCAATAGGGCGCATACAGGAGGCAGCCAATCAATGATTCTCGTTGATGTTTCTGTCGCTCCCTCTCCCTTCCTCTCTGAAATCAATAATAATACATAAAAAGAAAAGAAAGAGCCACTGTAGGGTAACAGCCCTGAGGATGTGGACTAAGGCTTGGTCAGAAGGCACTACAAACACATCCAGGACAATCCCCTGTCCAGATCATAGCTTGTCCTCCCTGTGGACTGGCAGCATGGGAAATACTTCTTCAGGGTCACTGGCCAAGCCCTGGAGGTGGGAGTTGGGGAAGAGGAAGCATCTGAGCAGGTCTCACTGCTTGTCCCCAGCTTCCTCCCTTGCTGCTGGAGGCCAGGATGACCTGTTAACTCAGTGGAGGGCCCTGACTTCTGGGCATCATTCCTAAAGCACTTGAGGTAACAGCCATGGCCACACCACTCCCCCATCTTGGAAGAGGAAAGGAACCCGGAGTGACTGCATGTCATTCACAAGGTCACCCAGCTGGAGTGGGAGCAGACACTGAGGTCAGAACTGGCCCTGCTGCCCACTCCCAGAGGCAGCTGGTGGATGCTTCCCAAAAATGGAGGAAAACGAGAATAGGACTAGTGCACTTAGCACTGGGACATTCCGGCACTGTTGAGGCTTTAAGGCTGTTTATTTCAACCCGCCACTGCAATAGTCTCCAAGACTACCAGCTCATTCCCCTTCAGGGTCTCAGCGTCGTGCACTCCCCATGCCCCCTCCGTGACTCACCTTGACCTTCCTGTCATCTGCCGTTGTCTCATCAAACTCCACCCCCAGCTTGAAGCTGATCTCTGTGTTCTTGAAGGTGCTTTGTGTTTTTAGGGTGATCATGTCCCCATTTATTTCGATGATTGTGGTAGGCTTGGTCATACTGGCCACCTGCCTGGTAGCAAAACCCACACCTGAGAGCAGAGGGAAGGTTATGAGTATAAGCCGGAGGGGAGAGGCGGGGTACAAGGAACTCAATGAACAACTCAGGCTGGATGTGGGAAAGAGGGAAGAAGAGGATGAGGGCCTTCCAAGACTTTGTATGGTCTTTTTAAAAAATTATTCAGTCTTAATGTGGTGAAGAGACACTGTTGATCTCATTAGACAGATCAGAACTTAAGGCATTATGCAGCAATTTGGTGGCAGAGCTGAGATTAGAATAAGTTATTAAGTGCTTTCTGTGTGGTAAGAACTGCATATGTGTTCTCATTCAATCCTGCAGTCTTCCTGAAGGGTTGATTTATTATCTCCAATTCACAGATGCAAACACAGAGAAGCCCAGGGTCACACATCTGAACTGTGACTGCAGAGCTCACGTACCTGCTCAGCTATAGTGCCTCTCGGGCTGGAGCACGGGGCTCCCTGCTGGGCACCTGAGCAGCTTTCAAGCCACAGGCTAGGGAAGAAATGTGGACTTTTCCTTCCAAGGCCTTGGGATAAGAGTGTTCCACCTTTGGGAGTTTCTACCTTGAGACGCACCGGTGCCTTTGTCCCCCGTATATGTCAACAAGACATTTTCAAAGTCTCTTATCCCAGATCGAGGAAGTAGGTGAAGGGTTTGTCTGTCTCACTGTACAGATTTAGGAGAGGCCTAAAGAGGTAGTGCAGTCAGGACTTGGATCCAGGTCCCCTGGCTCCTGGTCTAAGGCCCGATGGAGACCCCCTCCTGACCTAAGCATAGCTTCCCTGGGTCTGGGCAAAGCCCAAAGGGTCCTGCAAGAGAATGTGGAACAAAGAGCCCATAAGCAGTCTAAGGTGTGATGCTGTGATCTGTCCTTTAGAGTTCCCAAACGTGCCTGGCTGCATAGAGCTTGTTGGCAGCTAGGAACTTAGCCCATGCCCTCCCTGGGTTATTGTACTATAAATGCTCATAACAGCCCTGAACGGTCGGTTTTATTATTTATTTGACTTGACCCAGATTTGATCTAGGCTACAAAACTGTTTGCTATTCCTGGGCCATTCTGCCTCCTGCGATGTGTGTCTGTGATCACTAGTACTACCTTTGCCCCCTGGGAACCCTTGGTCTAAAACAATGGGCACAGGCTCCCTCTGTAGCTACCTGCAGTTGGCCCACCCAGTCTGGTCGGTGAGGGACTTTGGCCTCACCCCCTGCCGATAATGTCAGGAGAGCTGGGCCTTATCACTGCACAGGAAGGGAGTTCTGTTTGCCTAAGACCTACCTGGAGGAGAAGAGTGTTTGAGGAAGGAACCCGCTGGAGAGGGAAGGAAGAACTAAACCAGGAGGAACTGAGAATGAAACTGGGCTGACAATTCGGGGGACTTGGGAAGAGGTGGGCTCTAATAAATGAAGCTGAAGCTATTTACTGAGATCTGAGGAGGGGCTTTTCTCCCCCATGGGTCTCAGCCTTTCTACCAGTGTATCAACAAAAGCCGATGGGGAGGGCTCTCAGTCCCCGAGCCCAAGCTGGGGCCAAGTAAGGGAACATCGGTGGGAAGGATGTTGCCACCCCTTTCAGGGACCAGGTCTTCAGTTGGAATCTGCTGTGGGAGGCTTGGGAGGAGGAACAAACCCTGGGCATTCCAACTTCCCCAACAGCTCAGGAGTCAGTGGGCAGTGCCCGACATAGGTAGGCCTCAAGAGCCAATTGTGGTCCCTATTTCAGGGAAAGGTTAGGAACAGAGGTGAGAGGTGCCTGGAGTGGGTTTTTTCTCCTTTGGGTATCTGCTGAAATCCAGCCCGCCTTCCCTGGGAGGAAGGCATGGAACGTAGCTTGACCATGATCAACTTTCCTGTTTTCCCTGTCCCAGCCTGGAGATAGATCTAGGATAACCTCATAGCTGGGGATTTCAGGAAGGGCTGTGGTCAATCCTTAGATAAGCATTTCCAGCCACTCCCGCGCCCACAGGGCCCGTATGGGAACTGATTGGGGTTGCAGATCTATAAATCTTAGGTTTTCTGATCTGCTGTGGAATTTTTATGACAAGTTTCTACTTTCTCTGGATCTGTTGCCCTATCTGTTGAACTAAGCAAGGTATGAGAATCTCCAAGGACCTCACCTATAAGATTCTTTGAATTTTTACCCTTCTGCACCCCAGCACCACACCTGCCTAGAGCAAAGACCACTCCCCTCATCACCCCTCCTCTCCCATGGTTAGCAGGTCTTGGCCTTGCTGCACCCTGGAAGTCCAATGGCTTTCTCCCCTGGACTCCTCCCCACTGAGTGGCTAGACCTTGGGTTGTCACTGATGCGGGGGCCTCTTGCCCCATCTCAGCACTTGCCCCGGCTCAGACCCGGATTAAATTGGCCTGGTTACACAGCCCTGCAGGCAAGGTCAGAGCCTGGCTGGTGAGAAAGGGCATCCTCCTAGCCCAAAGTGGAGAAGCAGGGGTTGTTGTCTCCCCTGGACTCCTCCCCACTGAGTGGCTAGACCTTGGGTTGTCACTGATGCGGGGGCCTCTTGCCCCATCTCAGCACTTGCCCCGGCTCAGACCCCGATTAAATTGGCCTGGTTACACAGCCCTGCAGGCAAGGTCAGAGCCTGGCTGGTGAGAAAGGGCATCCTCCTAGCCCAACATGGAGAAGCAGGGGTTGTTGCTAACTGGGTTCCTAGCTCACCTCCCATATCCCATTGCTGGGGTTACCCACTCTTCCATCTCCCTCCTCCCGGGAACCCCCTGCTTCTGTAGGCCATAGTACACTCCCTGCCGGCACCATTCTCTTACTGTCTTCACCGTTTCCAATTCCTAAACCGCCCGTGCTCCTGTTCTTTTCCTCCCCTAGCTAGCCTCCCACCTTTTTAGCCAAACCCTCCAGAACATACACCCCTCTTCCGAAAAGCACCCCTCAACCCCCACATCACTGGCACATCTGCTTCCTTGAGCCTCCCCACGTGGGAATCCGCCAGGTTCAGACCACGAAAGCCCCCTCCACACAGGCCCTAGCCCAGGTTGCCACCTTTTCCGGGTCCCCTTACCCACCCCCCCACCCCCAACCTTGACCAGGAGGGATGCAGCAGGCTTGCAGGGTACCAGAGAGGGCAGGAGCGCTGCGCCGGCTGGGCACGCGGCCAGACCCTCCCCAGCCCAGCGCCCCACCCCCGGCTCACCGATGGACTTCATGTAGTCATCGAAATTCTTGCTGTCCACCAGCTTCCAGGTGCCTGCGAAGGCGTCCGCCATGGTGAGGCTGGGCAGGCTGTTAG